GATTCCAGACCGATAGTGTTATCTGTGGTTGCATGTGCGTGTTCTACTGCGCATATGCCTGTGTCTTTATGTGTTCTTCAATGGACTGGTGTACTGTCCAGGGTGTATCCTTTCTTACACCTGTTGCTTGTCAGGATAGGCTTTGGCTACCTAGTGACCCTGAATTAGAAGAAGCGGTAATAACATAAATGAATGGATAGCCATAGTGGGGATGAATTGGTTAATAATGAGTTAATTGGTAAAGGGTTTAAGAACACACCTTTTCACATGTGTATAATAAAGTCTGGTTTGGTATCTAAAGAGTATGCATGGGGTTAGTGGAGTTGGGGTTATTTGTGCTACATTTTGTTTGTTGGTGTTTTTAGCAGAAAAGGCTTTTCTTTTTTGGTTGTCCTTGTCAATTATGTATGGACACAGACCATAGGGACTACCCTTGCAGGGTAAGGGTCTTTCACATATGGTATAGTCAGTGGCTTATCCACTGACACGTGGAAAATTAATAGCTTTGATTAACTGTCTGGAAAATGGCTGCCTACTATAGCCATTCTCTATAGTATTTGCATTTGGAAAGAATTGTGTTATTTGAGAAATCGTTTATATACCACAGTTTGCATTTTAAAATGTAAGCATTGAAAATATAGTAACATTATAGTAAATCTAATGTAATCTAAATCTATGTAATAGTCAATTCTTTACTTAAACTGTGACATACATATATGAACTAAGTACTGTAATTACCACATTTTTATTATTTGTGACTTTCAATTTCATTCTTCTGTCTAGGACAGTCATCTGAGGTGCAGAACAAAAACAAGCTTTGAAAGATACAGCATTCATTGTTTGATTTTTTTTATAGCAGTGTTCTGTATTCTTATTCAAACAATCTCCCAGAAGCTTGCCTTTGTTTCTATTCCCTGTATATCTGCTCACATGTATGACCAAATAATTATTATTGAATCTTAGTGCATATATCAGACAAAGATTACAAAATAAGGTTGACTTTCTACAGCTTCTGCCTGGTATTAGACTCCATTATGCAATAATTTTCATTGAAATTGGTGGAGGTGAAGAGTGCACAGTGTCACAATCAGTACAAATCGGCTTTGTGCTTGCCTCCCAAATACCCTCCCATAGGGACATCTCAGCCATGTTTGTAGTGCGCCACTATTAACGGAGAGGCAGCTTGAAAGCTTTCACTTGGTAGTACCATAACACAAGCTGACATGCAGATCTTTTTTTCTTTTAAAGTCTAACATTGAAAGTGTGTTTTACCCAGACAGCTTTTCCCGTAGACATTTGCTGTTGCTGAGTCAAATATTCTCTTTCAGGAAGAAACATCTCGCTTAGAATATGAGCACATTCAGCTACAGTTAGCATTCTGTAGTATGAAACCTTGCTAACACAACTGTACATTCAGGACTGTTTATCTTTAGAAATGATATAACCCACCAAGCAACTTCATTCATTATATAAAACAAAACACCTTGACTTATAATGAGTTACACTTCCTGACAATGAAAAGAAATGATACTTAATGAACTTCAATTAAAGAATAGTGTATGTTTTTTATAACAAATATAGTTTTAATAGTGTGGCATCCTTAGAAAAAGAAAAAGGAGCCTCAAAATTAAAATTGAATAATGTTAATCATTTACAATCTCTCAAGATCAATGTAAATACTGCATTTAATCAAAAACCAGTCTTGTCTTATTTTAGATATGAATTCTGATACAGTGGCAGGACTCTCTATAATTAAAAGAAGGATACTGTACATTTTAAAGAAGGAACATAGTTTATAGACCACTTCACCCAAGGAAATATTTCATTTTTGCATTAATCAGGAGATGATTTAGTATGTTTGTCCCCTTCACCTACACACTCCTGGTAGTGTGTGATGAATCACACATTATAATAGTGATCAGGACACCATGAAATTGGTTATAATTTGCAAGAAATGAAAATCCCTTTATTTAAAAATGGTAACTGTCTAGAATTAGCACAAGATGTTCATTATTTACCTGAAAAACACCTAAGATGTAGATTATGTTTCAGTAATGTTTGTGAAATTCTGTATAACACGTATCACGTTTCCATTTTTAAGATTTGTACAAATGCTAAGAGTTACAGATTTGCTAGATGGTGGCCATATACCTGTTTAATTTCATTTTGCCGACCACATTTGAAAATATGTGAATGAATCAAAATTAAATTATTAAGAACCAGACTCTTTCCATTTCAGAAGATTTCTCTTCTATTGAAATTTGGCATTTTCTTTTATTGTACCGTATATTCAAATAAAATATTAAATCTTGTTTCTTGAATTTAAATTAACAGGTAATTACAGGAATCATTCTGTTTCCACCATATTCTGTCTATACTCAGAAAACAAGAATATACAGTACAGTACTGTAGACTTACGTTGTTATGTCCTGGTTCCTATTATTGTTGAAATGTATACTGTAGATTATTTTGGAAAAATATACTGAATAATAATAATTGCTTACACTTATATAGAGCTTTTCTGGACACTCCACTCAAAGCGCTTTACAGTTAATGGGGATCCCCTCCACCACCACCAATGTGCAGCCCCATCTGGATGATGTGATGGCAGCCATAGTGCGCCAGAACGCTCACCACACACCAGCTATCAGTGGGGAGGAGAGCAGAGTAATGAAGCCAATTCATAGATGGGGATTATTAGGAGGCCATGATTGGTAAGGGCCAATGGGAAATCTGGCCAGGACGCCGGGGTTACACCCCTACTCTTTTCGAGAAACGCCCTGGGATTTTTAATGACCACAGAGAGTCAGGACCTTGGTTTTACGTCTCATCCGAAGGACAGGGAGACAGGTTGTTGAGTGTACAAAACATTAGGGACAACTTCCTAATATTGAGCTGTACCCTCTTTTGCCGTCAGAACAGCTTCAGTTCCTCAGGGCATGAGCTCAACATGGTGTCAAAAGAGTTGCACAGGAATGCTGGCCCATGCTGACTCCAGTGCTTCCCACAGCTGTGTTGAATTAGCTGGTAGTGGATCTCTATTCCTAATGTTCAGTCCATCTCATCCCACAAATCTGGATGGATTGAGATCTGGAGACTGGGCAGACCACTGCATTAAGATTAATTCATTTTCATGCTTGTGGAAACTGGACAATCTTAGCCTTGTACTGTATATTATAGTTGTTGTCTAGAACTACTAATTACACACAGACTGAGGCCACTCAACTAATTGTGTGGCTTGTTTAGTTACTTTTGCGTACCAAAATAAATGGAGGGTTGCTGTTGTAAATACTGTAGTTTGAATACTTAAGCAATAGTGAATAATCTTTTCCATTGTACTTTCATTTTATTTTGTTCTTTCTTTTAGTTTTTACCTTGCATGTGTGGGGTAGGTGGTGCTTATTAAGTCACTATTAATTGCTACTTCAAAGTATCATGTCCATGGGTTTTAAAGCAACAAAATGTGAAAACTGTACAATAATACTTTTGCAAGGTAATATAGTAGCTTAATTTAAATATTTCGGTGTTATTCTAGTTTTTCATCATGCTTAAGAAAACCATTTGAACTGACCAATTCCTTGTAGTTTTAAATATGCCGCCAGAAAAAAAGAGCTGATCCTTCCAGGAAGTCCTGATTTCCTGGTTGTGTATTGAGAGGCATTACAATTTTTTATGTTGGAACCAATCCCATGGGTTTTAATTGTTAATGCCTCATGGTATTGTAACGCAACGGGGGTTCAGGCGGGCACCCTTGCCGCATTAGGTCGGCCCCCCACTGTCGGGGGCTCAAACCCGGGACTCCCGCGTCACTCAACAGGGACCCAGCCCGGTGAGCCAAAGAGATCTCTCTACAACCCAATAGCTGTAGTCCTGCTATCACAGGGAAGGGCGGTGACGTCACCGATCTCGTAAGCCAGCTCTTACACAGTGCCTGTCGGCCGTAAGCGTTACAGTATATAGTCACCTGACCAATCACAATTATTAAACTGGTCATATGATACCATACAGAAAATCATACTCATTATTTTATGAGGAATGTATTGGGAGAAATATCAGTGATCTTGCTTTCCTCTTCACACAGTGTACAATGCTTAAGGTAACATTCAGCAGTCTACTCAAGAAACAGATGTAAGTCTCATTAATGTTTATAATTGTGATAACATATTTAATCTGCAAGTGTCCACTTGAATGTATTATAATATATCTACAGTATATTATATAGCCCGATTTTACATTATATATGGTAATATATTATTAAATACAACATACAATTTCCCTCTAATAAAAAATGTCAGCTATTACCTAAACATCTGCAACCTAAAATAGCTCTTACAGTTAGACACATCTCACCAGGTCAGAACTCCAGTTTCCTAGCTATTGAAATTCTTATGGTCAAAGATGCTTTTTCTCAAAGTAAACCCCAATTTGGAAAATGCTCCCGCCCACCTTAAAGGTATCCTCATATGACAGACTTATAAGAAATATATTTTCACAAAATGCCATGCTTTAATTTATAGTGTCCATCCTTGCATTCTCTAATGTTGTTTTTTCTTCTTTACTTCTGCTTTTCTGTAGTACAGAATATGCTCCATATAATGGTTGGAACTTTTGTAGCTAGTAGAAACTATTTAATTGTGACTTTTATCATGTCTCATGTATACAGACTGTTACAAACTGTCTTCCATTTCAAGACAAATGCATTGGATAGTAAGTGTTATCAGGACAGTGGTCAAACTGGGTAGCAGCGGGGAAAAACAGTCAATTTATAAGGCAATACAAGACCACATATCTTGAAAGAAGTACTTTACTAGTTTCAGAACTATTGATTGAGGAAGGATAATCAAAGCGCTTAGCTTCGAAACGACTGGAAACACTACTTGTTTAACTGCAAAATGTGTAGAGCCTTAGTGATGTTATAACAGAAAGGCTCTAGAGTGAACAAACAAAAAATCATAAGGTTCCGTTTATTGGGTTATTATTACTGTGTTTTTTTTACTTACTTTGGGAAACTGTTTGACAGGAATTAACACTTTCTGTCCCAGCTTCATATTCTTGTTGATCACAACGTCAATGAACTTTTCTTCTTGTTTGCCTTCATCTTTCTGTATTTTTTCAATCTCTGAAAGAGGAACATAAAACTGTTAATCAAGCACTGTGGAATCATGAAGTGAAAAATGTCCATATTATAGTTATTTTAAGTGAATTTACGAAAGGGTGACCTCAGGTTTGATGCAGAAAATTATACTGTATTCAGCATGTGATTCATTAATATCTGCTTCCACAGTTTAAAAGAGTAACTGAAAGCCCCAGGGATACAATGAAATTGAATGTTGAATAACTTCAGTCAGCAAAGTCTCAAAATGTCACCTAAGCTACTTCAATGAAGCTCACCTAAAAATAAATATGTAACCAATACATCAATCAATGGCACAGTGTAAAATATCTCTTAATAAGGAGGGACTGTTATGGTCTACGTTTCAAGCAATGAAGCTTGACAAATAGTAATATTTCAATGTTTTTCAAAAGACAGGCTTAAACTTAAAAAAAATCATTATTTGTGCAGACGTAATAAGGAAAAAGTTTTCATTTAAATTTCCAATAAAACATAACTTTCATAAAAAACATGGCAGACAAATATTGTCCCTTTTTTGCTATTTTGTCAGTATTTGAAACCTCAATTTTCTTATATTCAAGATAAAAATGTTCTCATTAATATCTGTTAAATTCGCAGTCTGTGGAATTTCTGACAATTTACTGCTTTTGACTACTCAACTTGAGTTCATTTAGTCAAGCTGTGATTTAATTGGAATGCCTAAAATAATATCAGACCTCCCTCAAATTGCACTTCCTTGGGTGCTTAACAGTTCTGTGTCACAGATTTAATTATTAAGAATTTCCGTGTCTTGACTAAGTACAGTATGCTTGCATTTCCATAGAGGTTTAGTATCTAATACACTCCGTGTCACATTATTTGGATTTCAGGTCTTGATGAGTTTTTTTTTAAATTGAAATAATTGTTTAATCCTAATTAGGATTTGTGTAGCCCTGTGCGATCATTATATCACTTACTCACACTACCAAACATAGCTGTGCCAAGCAACACAACCATAAAATAACTGGTATCTACATTAAGGCAAAACGACAGACACAGATGGGGAGGGGGGGAAGGTAATTCGGCCTAGCAAGCCTGGTAGTTTATTAGCAAATCGATTTCTGGAAAAACTGGCCCTGGTATAAGATGGTGTGTGTTTGTGTCTATCTACCCTGTGATGGATTGGAGTCCCATCTAGGGTATACCCTGGCTTGACCCATTGTTTGCCTAGGTAGGCTCCAGCTCTTCCTCAACCCCGAATTGGAATAAGTGGTTAGAAAATGGATGGTGGATATATACTATGTATACAGTATTTATTGTACTGGGTGGTGGGGCAGCTGAGTGTCAGAGACATTAGTACTTCCCAGCAGTTACCTTATTCTGAAGGTTTGAAAAAATGTGTATAGTTTTGCTGTATTTACATATACATAATATCCCTATGTACAATTCACTCAAGTAAACTAATTCACTAATAGGTAATTACTGCAAGTCAGCCATATTGGAACATCTGCATTCAATAGTTACAGGACCATTCCTAGCGGTCACTATGCCAGCCTTAATGAAATGGATCAGGGGCCAAAATAGTTTTCAGGACAGGATAGAGTAAGGAAAAGCCAGAGAACAGAGGGACATCATCCTGCATTCACAATCCACCATTATCATCAATACCAAGATTGTGCCATTTGAATTCATCTTTTGAATCACACTAGTAGTCAGATTCTGTCCAGGTAGACGGAATGCATTACAGGGCATACATTATGTAAACCATGTCTGATTAGATAACCTAATATAATATTGCTAAAATATATGGGTGAAGCATGATTATACATTTTATTTTCTTAATACATAGCATCCTTAGTTGCAATCCATGGGGCAGTTGTCAAAAACACACATTGTCTTTGCAACAACATAATCCTGTAACTGCAGATGCAGATCTTCATCTCATGTAAGAGAATCAAATCACTTATAGCCTAGCAGAGTGACAAATATTAATAATATATGCATTTTAATTTTTCATCTTATTCTGTTAAATCCAACATAAAGCTTATTTTATCTCTTATCTATTAAGAGTACAGGCAGAATATATTAAGCAGTGCAATATAGTGCATTTAAACTCAGTACTATTTCCACAGGTGCTCAGGCATGGCAGCCTCATTAAGACCCATGGAAAGAAAAATGTAATATTTTCTTTAAATCAGTATAACAGATGTGTATTAAGATAAACCCTAAAACCATCCCAAGGGGTAAATCATCCAGTTTAATGAAAGTTCCTCTTAATATTTCTGCATTATCAGAAAAGCATGTAAAAACACAAAAAGAAATCTAGTCTAAGGAAAACTGTAAAACCTGTTAGACCTCTCCCCACCTTTGAATTCCAAGTTCTGTTTACATACTGTACATTTATCCTTAACCTAATTCAAACACAAAAATGCTAACTTGTGTGTTTGTAAAATGATTTAAACATCTTACTGACTGCTTGTTTTGGAAAATAATCCAATTTTGTATACCAAAAAATGAAAAAAAAAAACAGCCGAATCCCTGAGGGGATAACATTTGTACTGGGTCGCTGCCCCACAATTTTTGTAATGGAAGAATATGAGAGTTACAAAAAAGCTTAAAAACGGCATTTATTAAGGATAGTTTAAAAAAGTAAAGCAAAAGCAGTAGATACATGAACATCAACAAATGCAGATAGTTTAACAAGCTGTCCAGACAATTATACAGCTATGGTGGCATTTAGGACAACAAATAAACTGAAACCTATTACGAAAAGCAAGGGAAAGGCAGTTATAGAAATTTTACAACAAACAATAGTTTCCCTAATATTGCCAGGACTTTACTGAGTGCATTGTACTGTATGTATCCCTTCAATGGCAACACTTTTAAGGGCATGTTTTGTATCATGTATTCCCAAAAAAATAAGATTATAAACAATAATCTATAATAAGCCACATTTATTTAATGTACAGTTTTCTCACATTTTCATTTGGATCATTAAATTGTTCAGTCCTACCTTTTAACTTAAACAAAAAAAAATAAAGTGTGACAAATCTTAGGCTTAAGTGCAATGGCTCAAAAAGGAATTAGAAATTTGTTGTAAGGACATATGATGCCAAAATGAGGCCAAAATAATTTATTCAATTCAACTTTTCAATTCAACTTTATTGTCATTAAACTTACACAGGTGCATAGTACTGTATAATGAAAAGTGTTTCTCATTAGTCACTCAGGTGGAGTATATAAATAGGACAGAAGATAAGACAATAGACAATTACACAATAGCAATAACAGTAACATGTAATAACATAACATAAATAACATGTAATCAAAAGTGTGCAAAATTCCACAAACAGAGAAAATATAACAGGACAAAAACAGTGCAAGGTAATTCTTGAAACAGTGCAAAAATAGTATGGTTAAAAATAGTATGGTTAATTAATAAATTATAGTATTCAATGATTGAATGTATCACTAGTTTCCTGAATAAGGGACTGATTTGTAACTTGAGGCATTGTGGGTGGACAGTCTGATAGCAGTGCAGTGAGCCAAAGACCATGAGGTACAGTAGAGCAGTAGTAACATTAAATCTAGATCTTTTTGGTGACTAGTGATGAATGCTGCCCAATTGAAAACTGACCTTCCAAATGGCTAGTATTTCTTCACAGAAGACTTCTTGAAGCAGGTGTGAATCCAGAACACTTTAAAACTGTGATACCTCTGTCAGTAGCACACCTTTACAGAGTTTAGCAACTTTGAAACTTGTAATTGTGCATGTCTCTAATTTGTTTGTTTTAGAGACAAAATACTCTGTTTACAGTTTACAACTAAGTCAGCTAGGTGGAAGTTGTGATATTTTAGAGAAGATTAATTATACTGTTTACTGAACACTATTTTACTATTTTAGACAATGTCAGGTAGTACTGGAAGACATATTGTTTCACCTTTTATTATTGTTGATTTTTTTATCATTCTTAAAATAAAATAATACATTTACATTTTCTTGTCTGTCTCTCACAACACTACAAGTTGTAAAATACAACTTAAAATCTTGTGAAGTTAATATAAGAAAACATCAACTGGTACAAGTCACACTCCTCATTTTTACAAAGTATGTCTTTTATTTGCTTTTTATCACAGGATACCTAAGATTAGATACTGTACATTTTATTCCACAAGTATCTTGTTACTGTCTTAGTTTCCGTATATCTTTGACTAAAATCCACCATGGGATTCTGGAATAATGAAACTGTTGAAGGAACTATTCATATAAATCATATTATAAAGATCTATAGCTCAATAAGTTGATTACAGTGCAAAATTAAATATTGCTTACATCTAAAAATTGCAAAATTATATTTGGCATAAAAGACTTTGCCTCCAATTATTGAGCTCTGCATCTATCATGACCATATTAAATGAATATTTCATTAGTGTTTATCTTTTTGCAAAATAAATTTAATGATGTCAGTATCAGTGACATAAATGCTATGTAGTACTGTATAAGTAAAGATGTTACACCTTACTTTTTTCTCAGGTTTTAAAAAAGTATTTTAAAGGGTGCTCCTGAATTTTGGTTGGACCTTGCTGCCCAAAGACCATTGGCTGAAAGTGTGCTAATGTATCATTAAATATGATAGGATTGTTTTTAAATGAAGGTACAAAACTGGCTAGAAGCCTCCAGGGCTGGATTAGTTTAAAGCTGTTCAGGGGTTTTGTTGATATAATAATATCTGTGTCTTGTCAGGTGCCTATGTATGTACAAGTGTTAGCAGTGAGGCATGCATATATGTATATATTCTCCCTTTACTCAGCTGTTGACACTAAAACATTTACAATGTGAAGAGAGATGGATGATGACAGTGTGTATTCTAGATGGCAATGCAGACTGCCACTCTCCTACGCTTCTGCAAGAGCAGTAACAGCTACCCATAGTGATTTATAATTGTCAATTCCAAAACATCAATGGTGAGTCATGGTGAATAATTGGTTAGTCTTAATTAGAATAATAGTAAGAGCAATTAGAGTTG